CCCCCCCCCCCCCCCCGAAACGGTGCCAAAACTTTTGGATATTTTTTCTGTTTCATTGAGTTAATTGTGTTTTTATTTGCCAAATATATACAGTAGTTTTACTGCATTTATATGTCCTTTAAAGCACTGCGCCAATATGCCTTTTGTGTTTATGTGGTTTGTAACAAGTCAAACTCGCCCCGCCTCATTGGTACACGTGTGCTGCATGTCACTCACTCACTGCAGAAACCTGTTACAATGTCAATACTCACTGCTGTGTGTGTGTGTGTGTGTGTTCAGTGTGTCCACAGGGATATTGCAGCCAGAAACATTCTGCTGACTCATGGCAGGGTGGCGAAGATCTGTGACTTTGGGTTGGCTCGAGACATCACCACTGACGCCAGCTATGTGCTCCGGGGCAACGTGAGTCTGTCCGTCCCTTTTTCTCATTGACCCTTTGTCCTTCCTTCCTTCCTTCCTCCATTTCCAGTTGCTTGTTTTTTTCCAGTCAACACTTATACAAGACAGAATAAGCCAGTCCTCAGAATCTAGTAATGTTTGCTTGAAAGATTACAATAAGCTATTAACAAGAAAGAAAGTAGCTGCTGTTTATTTTTCTCTCAGTCAGCTAGGGATTGATAATCCCAGTTTAACATCTTTGAATTATGTGTTGAAATTACTTTCTGAATGCAATCAATAAATCAAAAAAAGTAGAGATGAAAAAAACATCTGGTATCTGTGACTGACGTAGGACTTTAATAAACCCATCCAATCTGCCCATTGCACTCATTGCGCTTCAGCTGTACCAGTGCTAACAGTAGCCATGCTTGTTGTTTACTTTCATAATGATAATTTTATCAGCAGTAGCTTAAGAGAGAGGCTAGATTTAGCGACTTTTGGAGCTAGTGCTGCTAGCTACTTTCACTCGAAAAAAGTTAGGAACACTGGGCTGGGTTTTTTGGTCGGATAATTATTCAAATGTAGCGTGCTCTTGCTAGTTTCTCAAGATTTCCTAGCTTTAATCGTTAGTATTAAAGGATTTGCATCTTTTTTCGAGAAAAGATATGGTATGTTTTTAAAGAATGAAAACAAGGGAACATGTTCCACACTGCTCCTGTGATCACGGCTCTCCCTCCTGCAGGCTCGCCTGCCTGTCAAGTGGATGTCTCCCGAGAGCATTTTCGACTGTGTCTACACCTTCGAGAGTGACGTGTGGTCCTACGGCATCCTGCTCTGGGAAATCTTCTCTCTGGGTAACATTTCCAGTTTGAGCCGTGCTGTTTCATAATCTCTGAGCCATTATTATCGTCCCTTCGAGCTGACTGGGCTGATTTGAGGCTCTGATGATGCTCCCAAAACAGCAAACATCACTTAGCGGGGTGAATCGTGCAAAATCATATTGATCGTGATACAAAATGTAACTCCAGAAGCCAGGCATCATAAGATGTATCCGTATTGTTTTCGCCCAACAATGAGACATGAATTACACAAAGGTATTTAAAGCGTGCGCGTATGTCTGTGTTGCAGGTAACAGCCCGTATCCTGGGATGCAGGTGGGCTCAGCATTTTATAGGATGATTCAAGACGGCCACAGGATGAGCAGGCCCGAGTTGGCTCCCATCGAGATGTAAGTGTGTATCTCAGGCGACAGCCTCCGATGAAAACGGTGCGTTGTTTTTAATGGCCAGCAGGGGGCGACTCCTCTGGTGGCAAAAATAAGTCAGATTGTATAGAAGTCTATGAGAAAATGACTCTACTTCTCACTTGATTTATTACCTCAGTAAACATTGGGCCGTGTTGAAACTAATCTCAGTCTCACTTCTGTAGGTATGACATGATGTTGTCTTGTTGGAACCACGATCCTCTGAAGAGGCCTTCATTCAGGAAACTGGTGGAGAGGACTGAGCTACTGCTGTCAGAAAGCACCAGGAATGTGAGTAGATTCGTAGACTATTCTGTGGCATTTTTGTCTTTATTAGAGAAAACCAGTCTAGATGCAGACAGGAAACATCAGGAGCAAGAGATGAGTAGCATGTGTATTAAAAATCCTCAGACGGAATCGAACCACACATGTCATATGCACACATGCATATGACATTGGGATATGGCTCGTTCCATTTCCCAGTACTCTGTCAGACTGTTTTTTTTTTGTGTGGAAAAAGTTGTATCATCAAAACGTAATAACTCACAAATGTTGTTGTTGTTCGTCAGGTGTACCTGACACTGAGCAAAGCTCCGGGTCATTCAGAGCAGCAGAGGGCGCCATCACGGAGGCTGAGCTCAGTCTGCAGCACGACAGCCCCCACCCAGCCTTTACTGCAAAACACTGCTGACGTCTTCCTGGACTATGTCTGACACACACACACACACACACACACGCGGCTATGAACCCCCCCCCCCCCCGCCCATCTCTCCCCTTTAACCGCACAAACAACAAGAGCCAAACACACTCTGTAATCTACTAACAACACTCAAACTAACTCTCTAACACTGGCCTTCCTGCATCACATACACACACACACACAGATACTGTATATACGACCCTGCTCTGGGCTCTCAGTACTGGCCTCTATGTAATCTCCCCATTGGCTTATTGATCTCTGTGGTAGGTATTTCAGGTGCACGTCTATATAGAGCAGACTCCAGCACTAACCGTCCATCAGATACAACATCTCCTAACAGCAGCAGGAGGAGTTTTGGCTTACATTCAGCCTCAGATTGCATCTTAAGAAGCTTTGGGGAAAACAGAGACCTTTGACTGAGGAATAGATAAGCACAGTTGGCGCTGTGATGAGTGGACTGTTTTTTGTTTTGTTTTGTGTCGGGTTTGTCTCCCTTTTTATAGGAACTTTTGGCCTTTTTGGGAAATTTAAAATGCCGCTGTCTTGCAGAGAGTTAGATCAGAAGATTGATACCACCTCAAGGTATCTGTGCGTCAAGTATGGAGGTGAAGCCAACGGACGTTTAGCTTAGCTTAGCACAAAGACTGGAAATGGGGGGAAACAGCTAGCCTGGCACTGTCCTAGTATTTATACACATTTCATTTAAAATTTTTATTTCGCTCCAATTGTACTTTATTAAAATTTTACTGTTTTACCATTTTACCATCCTTCGCGTCGAAAGGAGTCAGCTGAGGTGGTTCGGGCATCTAATTAGGATGCCTCCTGGACGCCTCCCACTGGAGGTTTTCCAGGCACGTCCAACTGGGAGGAGACCCCGGGGAAGACCCAGAACACGCTGGAGGGATTATATCTCCCAGCTGGCCTGGGAACGCCTCGGGATCCCCCCAGTATGAGCTGGAACATGTTGCCGGTGAGAGGGAAGTCTGGGTCAGCCTGCTTGGCCTGCTGCCACCGCGACCCGACCCCGGATAAGCAGAGGAAAATGGATGGATGGATGGATGTTCTACCATTATCAATTTATTCAGTGTTGTATTTTATTTACTTTGAAAGGTGCTGTATAAATAAAGCTTGATTGATTGATTGAACAGTGACAATATCCGTCTGCCAATAGCTGTTAACTACACAAATGAATACATTATATCTTGTTAGTTTACGCCGTACAAAAAAAAGACAATTTGTGGTTTTAGTGGGGAGTTATTGGTGGGACTATTTCTTGGCCGGGTGCAGTGATTCTCAGGTTTGTCTGCTGGTTGCCTGGCAACCTTATTTAAACTGAATTTGTGGTGCTTTTTTTTTTCCTTCTCTTGTGCTAGCCAGGCTAGTTGTTTTCCCGTTTCTAGTCTCAAGAGTCCCTAACAAATACTGAGTTGTTGGCAGCAAGCTAACCTCAAAACTGGCTTTAACAGGGCTTGACAAAAGATACTTTCTGATCAGAGACCTGAAGTTTCTTTTTATATTATAACAAATGAGCCATAGCAAGGTGGCATGTAAGCGATAACTCCTAATAACACATAACGCCGTAAGTTACAGAAACACTGATTCCCACCTGTGTGTTGTAGCTTTAAATACTGTGACTTATAACAGACTAAGTGATGTATTGCTGTACGTGATTTAGGGTTAGCTTTAGTTTAGTCTGTGGCTCAGCGTTTAGAACTGATTGTGTGCTCTTTTTACTTAATTTATGTCAAACATGTATGCAATGTAAATACAATAGAGATGTGCCTTTAGATTTTCTTTTTTTTAATACTGAATGCATTTGATTGTGACAGAGTTGTTGTTGAGAGCCAGAAGAGAGGTTCTGTGTGCTGGTTTTGAGAATCATGCAGTTTTGATACAGTTGGTTGACTTGTAATAATAAAGAAAGTACCTGTGAGGGTAGAACTGACTGGAAAGTGTCCATTTCATTTGTCATTTTCCCAATTCTGTGAAACGGGTAAGCAGCTTTGAGGCTGTACTAGGCTGCTTTCAGCTACACGCTAACATCAGCATGCTAACTTGTTCACAGTGACGCTAACATGGTGATGTTTTGACAGTTTATCATGTTGATCATTAGTTTAGCATGTTAGCATGCAAACATTTGTTAGTTAGCACTAAACATGCAACAAGAACAGCTGGGGCTGATGGGAATATAATTAGTTTTGCAGATATTCGGATGGTAAAATTTGCCATTTTGAATTGATCATGTCACTAGATGATCGGTCAGGGGAACACCAAAGTTATTACAACTAGGAGGACCAAAGTTATTACAACTAGGAGGACCAAAGTTATTACAACTAGGAGGACCAAAGTTATTACAACTAGGACACATGAGTGTCTGCACAAAACTTAATGACAATCCACCCAATAGTTGTTGAGACCTTTCAGTAAAAAAAGAACAGGGGGGATTACCAAAGTCATTAGGATTCATCCTATGGGGACCATGAACATCTTTACAAAATGTCATTAAAATCCACCCAATGGTTGTTGTTACCTTTCAGTGAAGAATCAAAGATGCCAACCTCACGGTGGGTATGGAGAGGGAAAGTAAGGGGATCACCAAAGTCATTGGGGTTCATCCTTTGGGGACCACGAATATCTGTGTATGTACATGCCATCCATCCAACAGTTCTTAACAGACCAACACACAAGAAACTTGGAGCAGACATGTTTCACGTATAATATTTGCAACTGTTTTTATTTTCAAATTGACCAAGAGGGGAAAGGGGGGGGGGAATTATAATAGCAAACATTTTGCTTCAAATTTTTGATTATTATTACATTTGACTTTGGGCTAGATAAAAGGAGCACAGTCCAAGGGCAGAATAAGGGATATACATACAGACAGCACAGGTAAGCGTAGCACCGGTTTACACTGAATACTGGTGTTTCGCTTTGTGTATGTGAATGGGAGTATTATACGAGAACTAGGACCCTTTAGAACCAGACTGTGTACTGGAGAGGTGATCTGTGTATCTGTGTGGTGGGGGGTGGGGGGTCGCTGTCTTGTCTATGGTGTCCCATTTCAAATATCCTACACCTCGACTTTCAGCACAGTTAAAACTTTTTTTCCAACTAGAAAATTATTGTTGCAAAAACAGAAATTTCGTAATTGGTGAAACATTGAGGAGGCTCTTTTACAAAACAAAGCCTGTAAATAAGATTGCATGTCATGTATGTGGATCCTTGTAGTGAAAAACATTATTTTCTTTTAACACCCCTCGGTTTCCTTCATCACAAAGCCTGTCAAACGTCCTCCATAATCAACAGTTACAACATCCATTTGTCTCTTTAAAACACCTTTACATTCTTTGGGCTGGGTATCAGTGACACAAACTCTAAACATTTCATCATTACCCTTCAGCGTGATGCCTTAAACACAAACTAGTCTATAGAGGGTCTACATTTGTTATGTGAAGCGTGGAAGACCTGGTTCAAACAGTAGGACCCCTCTCTGTGAATCCTGTCTTCTATTCCTCATTTGTGGACAAAGTCAATAAGAGCATTGTCCCCGCTCAGTCGCCAACCTAAATGAAAAAGGTCTCTCAGAAGGGGTTACCGCTTGAGACTGGTCTGATGTAGTAGTTGTCGTGATAAGTGTTTGTCGAGCAGTCTGCCATCGTAAAACAATAACGCTGCCCGTCTTCTTTATAGCCTGAATGGTGACCAATGCTCTGCATTGCCTAACATCCATTCTTTTTCCAGTCACACGTCTGTTTCCATATGAAAATATAACAGGTTACAGTGACAGTAATTATGCATACTCTCTCTCACTCTCACACACACACAAACATGTATTCAAGTTGAGCTGTCCCACACACACGGGCTTGCAGAATACTGAGCCCCACCGGAGAGGAAGTTTCTTGAATATTACAATTATTCTCTTTGTACTGCAACGCAAGAACTGATTGGCTATCGCCAGGGGAAACCAATACTGCCCCCCCAGAGAGATATGAGAAGTAGGAGACTCTATATATATATATATATATTCACACAAACACGCAGTCTTAACTACACTCTTGAGACAAAACAACACATTCGCCAACCATTACGCTTCCTCCGATCCAAGGCGTTTCTGTTTGATATGGCTTACGACTGTAGTAGAATGGCTGAGCCCAATTTCCATCAGCGTCATTTGAAATGGATTTGGGCCCAGCCCAGCTTTTAACCAGAGACGAGTGAACTGAACTGCATGAGGGTTTCTGAGGCCTAGGAAGAGATAGAAGGATTAAAAACACTGATAATACAAAAAGACCACGAGACAGTGAGCAGAAGTGCAGGTTCGCTGGTCCCATGAATCTATTCCAATCTGGGTGAATCGCTGAAAAAATACCTTTTTCTATATTTCTACTCCATGGTATCTTGGCCTTCCCTCTCTTTACAAGATAACAGGAAGGCTCGAAGAGATCTGGGTCAAATCTGATTGAGTCACCACACCCTTCACACACTTCTTCCTCCTGGTCTTCGCTGCATCACTGTCTAATCCTTCTTGGTCTGGTTCCAGACTGAGGCAGAAGCAAAAAAAACTTTCCACATTCCTGAGAATACAAGTACCATCCAGCAACTTCAAACCCTTACTAAGTCAAATATTGTAAGACACAAGGGGAAAGCGCACGCACACGCGCACACACACACACACACACACACACACACACACACACACACACACACGCACCAACCGCAGACACTCTCATGCCCAGTCATGCACACAAAGATTGTATTCCCAAAAAACACGCTAGCTCACAGAATCACACCACGGATTACAAACAACAAGGTCTGGACAGTGATTTACTGTACACCACCACATCAAGTGCTAAAGTTTCAGGAGGTTGAGGATATACTGTTTGTTACTTATAGGGCTCTCTGACTGTTAAAAAATAATCCCTACTATATACACACGCGTTAACTTTAATAGGGGTAATATCCTGTTGGAAAATATATATACGCCTTTGAATAGTCTGCTCGAAATGAAATAAAACGAGAAGATAATCTATGTTATTGGCACTTGGAATCACTTAACCCGTTAGACGTACAGTGATCACTCTGCAAAGAATTCAGTTAAACTGTGATCTAGTTTCTTGCCAAACATAATTTGTTACAAAGTTAAAAAGAGCCATTTTTGTCTCAGACACAGTGTTCAAAAACACAACTTCCACAAGAAAACCCCAGCCCAAGCAAACTGATGAACCGTAAAGCCTTATTCTGGACTGTCGTTTTAGGGAAGGTGGGGGTAGGGGTGGGGGAGAGAAGACTGAGAGCACATCATCGCTCCATCTTTGACCAGAAAACAGTTGAACAAAGTAAAAATTCATTTCTCAAAAGCGACTAATAAAAGCTTACACAGTTATTCTTTCCATGCAATCATATAAAATACTACATTTCTGTTTCCTGTTAGGCTATATTGTATATTTACAAGGTTTTTTTTGTATCATACAGTAAATCTGTACAAGGTCAGTCCACTTTGACACACCTTCAAAAAAAATTAAAATAAAAGTCAGTTGTTACCGGTTTTCCCCAGAGACCGGAGCTCCTTCACAGCTCCTCTTCCAGTGAAGGAAAGGGGGATTTTAATCCATCCTGTTGCCACAGTGGCAATCGAGTTCCTTGTGGACTCACAGGCTTTCCTCTTTCCTCTGATTCCTTTCCTTCAGACGGAGGAAGGGAGGGCAACGATTTTATTTTGGGGGGGGGGGGGGAGAGTTTGTGACGGCCATGCGACAGCTGTATGCAGCGATCTCCTAACGTTCCCGGTGTTCTCTCAGTGAACCAGCTCACTGAGGTTGGCTGCTGACGCTGTCGGTCCTGTGCGATGACGGAGCTTTCTGCTGTTTCTGGGGCTGCGGTTTCAGTTGCTGCTGGTGCCTCTGGTGGTGAGATTGTTGCTGCTGTTGTCGTTGCTGCTGTTGCTGTTGCTGTTGTTGTTGTTGCTGCTGCTGTTGTTGTTGTTGTTGTTGCTGCTGCTGCGTTGCCTGCGTGAACGTGCCCTGTTGTTGGAGTGGGAAAGCTGCCTGCAGGATGAGCTGTGTAGACTGGTTGCTATGGAGAAGATGAGTGCCCTGACAGAAATACAGTGCAGGAGCATTACAAATTGAAGCAGTTCTTAAATAAAATACATCTTTCCTTTCTCACACTCTCTGAAAGTAAAGTGAGTGAACATCTTAAAGTTTGAATCATTTTAGTATATTATGTACACTCATTACTTAAAGACAACAACACCTTAAACCAAAATAAAACTTGATATTGTCATGGTGTCTGTTTAAATGAATCCTATTTGCTGCCCTCTACTGATACCTGTAGGAATTGCTGTTGCTGCTGCTGCCCCTGCTGGCCGCCCTGAGCCACTACAGCCGTCTGGTTTGGGCCGTCGGGCTGACTTTGGGGCGGTTGGGCTGGTTGCAGAGTCAGAGTCTGGGTTTGCCCTCCCTGCTGAATACACACAGGAGTTAACACAGAACAACAAAGGGACGTAGTCATATCAGTGAATCGTACAGGACATCTTGTTTGGAATATTGTCGGTCATTTGCTGCTTCAAGAGAGGTTTAAATAGCATCACCTCTACTTATGATCTCTCAGTGGATTCTCTACGGATCTAACTCTTACAGATGTGTTTGGACTTGACAGACAAATGAAGAAGGATGGAGTCTACTATATAAGCTAATGTAACGACAACACTGCAGCGGAGTCTACAAGTCCTTAGAGCTGTTAGTCCTTTGAGTCATCTATAGGGTTCAAGGAGATGACAAATGTTAAACAACTTCAAACAACAACTTTTTCTGGTAACAGATACAGCTCCATTAGTCGCTCTGTGACTCGTACCTGTTGCCCACCAAAGGGGTTGTACGCAGTGACCACCTGTCCCATGAACATGGAGGTGGGCACCATGACCGCTCCACACGCCATTGGAGCGGTCACAAGCTTGGTCACCAGCTGCTGCCCTGCTGGGAACCTGGAGAGGGTGAAATGGAGAAAAGGGACAAGTGAATGACATTGTATGTACATATACGCCTGCAGAGACTTGTGAGAGTCGGGGGTAGGTTGAGGTTCAGGTTTGGTCGTCGTCTACCTACCGGATCTGTCGATCCTGCGTGAAGGTGGCCACTGCGGTGCCTTGCTGCGTGTTGGTCTGCGGCAGGCTGGTGCTGATCTGCAGCACGTTGGGCTGCCCTGGCTGGGCGATCATCATGGTGTTGTACAGCGGAGCGGATACTGAGCCCTGGGTCTGGGGCTGAGCCTGAGGGGGCTGCTGGGGCTGAGCCTGAGGGGGCTGCTGGGGCTGACGCTGGGGCTGGAGAGTGGTAATGTGGGGAAGGAGGGAGGGACATGATATGAATTCCTTTGAAAAACAGAGCAAACACACTAAGGGTCTTTTTTGGTTCACTTTCATTATTTTAGGCATGTTCAATTTTAACATACCGAAAATAAATTTACAGGTCATGAAGCGGTAAATATTACAGAAAAACTGAAAAAAACACACATTATGGTGTGTGTTACAGCACTCCACTGTCGCAGAGTTTCCTGTGAAGTCTAACACTAACAGTGTGCTCTGTGGCTCTTCCTGTCTTCTGAATGAGATGTAAAAACTGAAAGTTCATACAAGCTCAGTGTTCTCACAGGACCTCAAGTATTGAGTACATGACTCATGTTTGACCTGTTCCTTTAAAGGTCACAGATACCGCAAGTTTGATCCGAGATTAAAAGAACAAAATTCTTTGTTTGATATCTGTGTCCTACCTGTGCGAGGGTGTTGGTCTGCTGCTGCTGCTGCAGGTTCTGCTGGGGGGGCGGAGCCTGCTGCTGGATGGTGAGCTGCTGAGCTCCTGAATGGACGGGGTTAATTGTCGTTTGCTGGACCTGACTGGTCAAAGCAGTGGCTTGTTGGACCGAGCCCACCTGGGGGAGCTGCACGTTCATCGCTCCGCCTTGCTGCTGCAGCAACATCTGTCGGGATGGAAACACCAAAAAGTCAGGCCTCAGTGGTGTGTGTGTGTGTGTGTGTGTGTGTGTGTCTAGGTCTGCACTACATGCACTCGTTTCTGTACATTTACTTGTTTAATCTGTGCGTATTATTACAACAGAATAGAATAATTCAATGTGGGTAAATTGTCTTTACAGGGTACACGCGGGTGTCCTCTTAATAGAACAAAAACCATACATAATGTATGATTCTCGCTCTGATCTAGGTCAGGCACAGCCAGGTGGAACACAACAGGAAAAGACAACGCACACCACATCTGCTGATCTTTCAAAAAAAGAGGAGAGGTTGCGTGCTACTTTTGTTCAAATAACCAACTGTCTAAATTTGGAAGAAAACATCACGGGGAGAAACCTGAATGCAACTGAAATTGATTTTCAAAAAGGGTAAGTATGCAACTGTTCTGTGAGTAAAATGAACCCCTTTCAGTAAACTGAAGTAGCTCTCTGCTTTATTGTTTGAATATAATGAGTTTCCTTTTGCTGTAAAAGGTTACAGCACAGCAAACTTAGACTGATGAGCAAACTCAATCTAAATGTGACGCCTATTTGCAGAAAAAGGCTACATTTCGAATTACGGCGGCTCAATTATGGCAAAACTCATAATCACGGTCAGTATCAAGATCATGATTATTTAACAAGACGACTCATTGACTTTGGAAGAGTCATGCACTCCAAAAGAAAATGTTTAAAGTGAAATGCATCAATCGAGTGCACTTGTATGACACAAGAAACTAAAGTTATTGTAGAGATTTGATTAACTGCGCGGCCCTATTTCACATTCTTAGATTGAGATGGCCACCATGTGAGTGGGTCTACACAGACCTGTATGCCCTGCCCCTGGACTCTCTGCAGCTGGTCTTGGATGTTCCTCAGCTCGTCCTGCTGCCGCTGGATGTTGGCTTGGATCAGCCTTGTCCTCTGTTCCAGCTGATCCTTCAGATGCTGCATGGCATTCACCTGCGCTGAGAACTCCATCACCGGCTGTGGGTGGAGAGACAAAGAACAGGCCGCTCATGTCACTCGTGCTCATCACGAAACGCGGGCAAATGGACAAAAATGTCCACAGCGGAGCTGCAGCTAATAGTTATTTCATTAGGGTTTTCAGAAAATAGCAATACATATAACTATATCGATTCTGAAAAACACTGTATGGATTTCTAATTAATAGTTAAAAGCAAGGATTTGTGGCAGACTGGCTCAGATTGCACAAAAGGTAGAGCTATGATGTTGGATGTAACAGTGACTGTGATCAATGCAAATGCAGATCCCAATGTTCTGATTTCATAAAAAAGTTTACAAAAATATACCCAGATTTTATGCAGATGGCAGTTTATTAGTCAAAAACAACAACATATTGGATTGTAACGCCTTTATCATGACACATCATATCGTCAGATTCTTGCAAATGCTCGGTCCTTCTTCTACTGTTTAACTATTATTATATTCTATTTATTGATTTATCATTTAGCTCTACTTGTCAGAATATAGCAATAACCAATCTTTGAGAATGTGGGACCACTGAATCTAATCCTCTCAGCTCTACTACACATCATGATGAGATGAAATGACCCGCGTGTAGTGCCACCGTGCTCACCTGTACGCTTGTCTGTGGTTGCTGTGGTTGCTGCTGCTGTTGTTGCTGCTGTTGCTGTTGCTGTTGTTGTTGCTGTTGCTGATGAGTGATCATACCTGGAGTTACACTCTGTCCTGTGGTCTGAGAGCTCATAGACTGCAAATAAACAAGTAATCAGGAGAATTATGGCAACTCAAGTGTAAGAATTTGTTTTTATTACATTTGCTTAACCAAACTGCATTATGAATAAAATTCAATCTCTATTTGCCTTACTCAGGGTCACAAAAATCAGCATCCTTCAAAAGAAGAAGTCTAAGAACTGTGTTATGTGTTGGTGTTTTGGGCCAATCGAGTCTCACCTGGCTGCTGATGGATGAGCGACGCTGTGACGTCATCTCCATGGTGGAGGCCAGGGACTGCGGCGGAGGTGTGGCCGTGTCCATGTGTAGCTTGGAGGCTGTCGCAGAGACAGAATCATTGATTGAGTGCGAGTCATACTCTGCTGAGGATATCGTGTCATCTTACTGCGGGGCCTCCCATCCCATTAAACTCCACAACTGATGCGTCACTGACCCGTCTTTAACGTATTACGTCAGGGTAGGACTGACTAACACTGTATATGTACATGCAACATGTGTGTGTGTGTGTGTGTCCTCACAAGTGCACGTGTTGTCAGAGGCATGCGATGAGGACTTGTGGGAACTCTGTGAGGAGGTTGAGGGTGTTCGGCTGCGTTCAAATCGCTCCAAGGCCTCCTTCAGGCTGGACGTATTCAGCTGGGACTCCAAGCCAGAGTCCTGACTCTAAAGGCAGAAGAAAAATACACTAGACAGGCAATCCTTTCAAAAGGTATAATATGCAGCATTTTCCTGTGTGTGTTTATGTACTTCATTAATCCCTCTGGTCTCAGCTCTCTCTCCTCTGCTGTGTGCAAAGCGTGCTGCTATCGGTGTGTCCGTTTGACCGAGCCCCACACACACACACACACACAGTCACAAAGCAGAGAGGCCACAGCGAGCGGGATGGAGCGCGTACGCTTCGGCTGCATTCATTCAAATTCCGGCATAGCAGGACCTTCCTGCAGGGTTGTGCGGAGGTGTGGGTGTGTTTATTTGTGCTTGCTTTGTTCTCGCTAACGCCGCTCTCTCACTTCGTTTACACTCACGCTCGCTCCACCGCCAACACTCTCGTCTTTTTTTCTCGACAGCCGTTCATCTGATCGACTTCACACTTGGCGGGCGTATTTCTCAGACTGTGAAGTTGTTTGGATGAGCGGTGTAAAGCGGCGATACAGGATGCCGAGCAATCCAAAGAGGCATGTCCTGTACTAGGCCCTGTACTAGTACATAAGTAACAGCTATTAGACTCAGAAAGTTCTTCCATAGAAAGATATCACTGAATTAATGTTCTTTTGTGAATTCCTTTAAAAACTTTATGATTTATGAGAAATCTATCGTTCTCATCTTGATGTAATCACTGACTAACAGGATTGAGATAAAACAAGAGAGCAGCAGTCAGTTTGTCGACAGTGTGAGAAATATTAACGGACAGTAGCATCTCACTGACGGAAGTTATTGGACAGCAAATTTGGCTTTATGTTGTATGAGACAGGTTACATCAGAAACAAGTTTTTGGGCTTAATTTTAGTAAACCTTTTGACATATATAATAATATGTTGGCTGGATGAATATATTATTTTGTATGTCAACACATTGCCACTAGAGAACTTCAGCCGGTCTATGAACAAAACTTCAATTACACTACTAATAGTTTCATTTTGTTACTCGGGCTTAACCAACAAATCTACAAATTTAACCAGAATATGTTTTTTTCACAATTTCTCCTCCATACTTGATATATATTGCGATACCCTGAATTATTGGACTCATGCGTTGATGAAGGCAGATGAGTTGAGAGCATTTCTAGATGTGATTTCTCACCTTATTCACCGTAACTTCTGGGTTAGACTCCTCAATGCCCAGCTCTCTGCGCTTTTCTGCCCTCACCTCTGCATAGCTGCATTTTATACCAAAAAAAAGAAGGTGCATGAGAGATGAGAACATTTAGAAATGCCGTGTCACCAGTAAAGTGGATCACATAAGTGCATGTGAGGAGCCGTTTACCATCACGGAAATGTCTCGTGATCAGCACAAATAAATCTCTCATCTATCGGTATAAAGGGACAGGGAGGCTGCAGTACCTGACTACTGTGTGCGTACAGACAATAAACTCGGGCCGAGAGTTCCACTGGTGATAGGTGATGTAGTAGTGCGTCTGAAGCCAGATCCACTGTTGACCTTTAGTCAGGAAACGATAGTAACAGGACTTCCCTTTACCGTACTGCATCACTGAACACGAGAGGGAGACGAAGTGGTTAGACGCTAACGAGCAGAGGAAGGCTTTCACAACACAAAATGAACGTGTGTAAACAGGAGCCCTCACAGTGCTCATGACACTTGGCCAGTGTCTCCAGGTCATCCACATGGTAATAGTCGTACCCTGATGTTCCCAGGACCTCGAAAGGCAGGTAGCCTATGATTGGCGGAGCTCTGAAAAAGGAGAGATGGCGTCCTTAATGAAATCGGAAAACAGCTTCACAAAGCTCAAAAGGACAAAGTGACCACGACTAACTGGGTGCTCTTAGCTTTCAGTGAAGTGTCTGCAAAGAGGACAAACATGACGCGGCTCAAAAGTACATATCACAAAGAAATAAGTATTATGTAAATGCAAAGGGTTATGCTTTAAGAGACGTACTTCATATGACGTCTTGCCTACGCGGGAAGAGTGCGACCACCCGAACACGCCTTCTGACGGCGTATACTTGCAGCTTAAAAAGCAATGCACGTTCAAATGTGTGCGTTTGTGTGTTTACCTATGGTCTAAGAAGAGGAACTTCCATTCTAGACTGTGCCTAGAGGTGAATTCTTCATTGGGCTCCTCTACTGTACACATCTCCTGTGAATATAAAAACAACGGCAGAGAGAAGGTATTTCAGATAAAAATGATTCATTAACGGCTCAGTGTGAATGATATTTGTATGTACAGGTATGCCAGAGAGTGTGTGTGCCTCTACCTTGATAAACTGAGGTTTGGCCAGCCGAACAGTGGCTACGAAGTACACCTGGTCGTCGAACGCGGGTTGTAGCGACCGCTGTAACACCCCTGCTAGACCATTCCTCGCCGCGTTGGGAACTGCGCAACACAGAGCAGCCGTTGAAGAGGTTGTTTACTCCCTCAGTCAAACTGGCTTTACACACATGTTTCTGTGTTGACTGCTATTTAAGTGTCATACCGTTGTTGAGGGACTTGAAGTTGCCAATGAACTTTACATATTCGTAGACAGGCGGTTCTTTGGGGTCGATGGTCCCTCGCAGCATATGGCAGCAGAACTCCATGTGGTTCTTATCTGGAAAAAATAATAATAATACAGTTAGCTCAGAAGGCAAAAATATGTGTAAAAGACAACAGTTTTTTTTTCCAGTAAACGCAGTGTTCAAAATGTGTTTCATGTTTCATGGTGCTAGAAGGATATCAAGACAAAACTGTAAAAATCATGTAAAAAATTCAGACTTTTTGGGTTCAAATGAAGAAAATGACCTGTGACTCTTTGTTTAGCTACTCAAGTCTGAGAAGATTATGATTTTTCTATATCCACCAAGTTGCTTCCTTACAGACAGGACAGGATTCATGCTAAACAAAATGAGTTACAGAGTTGTGAAAACTTTACATTATCTTCAGTTGTTTATTTTATTCAAAATATATTCAGTGATTTACTACAGTGAAACGGATGCTACATGGATTTCTACTTTGTTTAATTTTATGTCTGTATCATTTTCTTTGGATGTTAAGGCCCAAACAGACATTTATGATGATAGTGAAGTACGTAAGTAAGTGTTAAACTGATTGATATTGTCCGATCAACCATCAAACACAGAACAGTGCAGTATCACTGGATAATGTTGAAAACCAGCAGCAGGTGTAATATGCTTCGGAGTGGTACTGACTCTTCAGGTAGTCGGAGCTAAGGTTCTCGTGGTCGGTGGGATGCGTAGACAGGGCCTTGTACACCTCGGAGTGTTCTCCAAGTGGCAGGAAGTTTAACAGGTTGTGGTCCACCAGGTCCGTCTGAGGAACACAGCACATACATGAGAACACGCACAGAAATCTGAAGAAAAGTAACACCCATATATCATCCCAGCATGTTCCATCTGAACGGCTCACACAGAATAAATCCACTTAAAGCTTGTTCTACCATACAGAGGATGACTAATACATAGCAAGTAAACCAGTGTTACTCACCGGTAAGTGTTCAAGTAGTGAGGTGACACTCTCGGAGACGTAGAGGATGTTCCCGTCAGTCATTATTGCTAAAAAGAACCCATCCAGAGCCTGACAATGCAAGACAAGATCAAATAAAAGGCTGTCATCAATTCGTCTGTTGTTGAAGATCAGCAAAAATAAACAATGCGTCAAATACCGCAGCGTTTTTACTTTTAGAAATAAAATCCTGCGTGTCACCCATTAGTTCGTGGACTACCATTTTGAAGCCTCCAGTTTGGCATTTTGGCCGTAGCCATCTTGTTTTTTTTGCAACCAGAGGTGACACAAGAGGGTGGAGCGGAGTACAATTAAACGCTGACTAAGACATTTTTAGGCGACGAAAACGTTTACAATTAACTTTCTGGTAGGGACCTGTCGATCACAAGGTAGCCCCGCCCTAAAGCCTACCCTGCTCTATGGTCTATTTGACTCTAAATGGACTATAACTTACTAAATGAACATCATGCTGTATTGAAAAAGACTTGAAACTAGAGATTGAGACCATAAACTCATGTTTACAATGTTCACTGAGGGAATAAATCAAGAGAGAAGTAGAGTCATTTTCTCATAGACTTCTATACAATCTGACTTTTTTTTGAAACCAGAGGAGTCGCCCCCTGAAGGCCACTAGAGGGAATGCAAGTTTAAGGCACTTTTGCATTAGCTTCACTTTTCAGAATGCCTGAGAAAAAACTGTCACGAGAGTAAAATAACAGCGGATATAACCTAACAGACAGGATTACAGTACAACACGTGTGATGTCTGACCTCCAGCATGAGCTGGGTGAACTCTTCATTGCTAAGAAATGGAGGCTTCCAGTCCTGCCTGATCTCACTCGACTCCGACTGGGCTGCAATCTCTGGGGGAGGAAACGGAAGGCAAATGGGAATTTTAGGTAAAAAAATCAAGTGAGGAAAACACAACGAGACATAAAGGAGACAACACATAAAATGCATTGATAGCAAAGGGCTCGGAGTGAAAACAAGGCACTTAAACAGAGCAAGAGATAACACAGTGCAACGGTGAAGTGGCAGCCGAGTTAATTATCATGCACAGCAATGATAAGAGCTAGGATTAACAAGAAGTAGTAACACATGCCTAGTAATTAATTATTTCATCATAAAGGAATCACAGTATTAATGATTATGAGGGGAAGCTGAGTAGAGGGTGGAGGTGTAAAGCAGCTAATCCTTAAAGTAGGACACAATTATTATTCATAACACATTAAGTCACTACACACAGTTAAAAAGGTAAAAAATAATGAAAGAGTCATTTACACTTTACAGGTACAGTACCCACGTCTCATAAAAAGTGTAATAAGCTCTAGTAATGAGAGTAAACGAGCACAGACGGACAGAGTACACAAGAACAGCTAAATATAGACCAAGACGTGTCCACCCTGGGAGGTGCCCTGACCTTTGTGTTTACACAGGAAGTCAATGCTTTTCTGCAGGATGGTGGACTTGTCCATCTTCCTGGTATTGCCCGGCAACATCGTGCCGAGTTCCTTGATGAGGACATTGAACTGGTCTCTCCGTTTCTTCTCAGACTTGTTTCGGGACACGCTGAAATCAAAACCACGGTTAGAAATTGAACTCTTAATGTCATGCAGCCAACGTTTCTTTTGGGACAAACATTTCCAAGAGACTTTTGGTTTTTATTTTTCTTTGTCCAGATTCGCCGTTTTGACGTAAAGAAAAAAAAACACAACAATCCTGAAAATAGACAAACGTAACCTCTTTGTCATGTGACCCTATAATGTTTCAAGTTAAGACGGTGCATGGCTGCAGTGTCCCGCATGCCATAAAGTCGGTTTATGCTTTAAATGTGTTTCAGATGCTGGTTGAGTGTAGGTTTTTTATGATGTTTAATCATCACTCCAGCGTCTTCATCTTTATATCTGGCTTACCGTTTTGCTTTGTCCTTCTCATCTTCTTCCATCAACCCATCAAAGATGCTACAATCATCCCTACGGGAGGAGAAAAAAGTATTTGCAGCTTATCCCGCCTCACTTTGTTTTTTTTCCTGTGTACGCATGTTTGTTGGCAGCTTGAAAGCAGATCTGTATTGTTAATAATAGCGACTGACAGATGCCGGTTAATGAGAGGATTCCTACATGCCAGGAGCGGCTCTATTTTTGGGTCACACAAAAAAAAAGAGAGAGTCAGAGAGGGGGAGAGAGAGAGAGAGAGGGGAATGTGTTGTGCTTGCCAAGAAGATTGCAAGTGCATTTGTGAAACGGGCGTATTCTTGCCTCCATTTCAATCAATATGGGTCAATACGAGTACTTTCAGTTTTACTGACGGCTGATATCTGGAGCAGTTATTTAATATCTTTACGTTTTTTATCGTGGCACTCCATTTCATGATAACAATAACCATAATTAGAATTATTACAGCCGTGACCGCTGGTATTGTTTTCAGCTTGTGAGTCTGTATGTGTGTCATTATGGCAAAATGTGTCCTACCTACCGCAGAATTGGGAATGAGTACTTTGCTGGGTGTTTTTATTTCTGTCTGTCTGTGGACCGATTTAGTCAACGTGATGGCGTCACAACCGCACAAGACGCATTTACACAATTTTACAGGTGTTGTTGTTGAGATCAAAATGAAGGCCTTTGAAGATGGGTGTGGGACTAAGGGGGGGTCCGATTTAGTGTTGCGGCTGGTGTGATCCCACCACAACGTGGTCTTTAGTTCATTCATCATTATAGTTATCGTTATTATTATCCTAATAAACCAGAGGCATTTCATTAATGGACACTGACACCATTATGGGTTTAATGTTTTTGAAACAACGTGCTTATACTAAACACATGTATAGTATGTCATATGAATGTCATGAATGATACATTTACATATCGTGTGTGTGTGTGTTGCAGTATACCCGATGCTTGATGTCATGGTGGCTGCTGATTAGGGCTGTGGCTGCAGTGATTTGCTCTTTAGGCGTGAGGTAGGCATTTGGAAGACAAACTGCAGAGAAAAAAACAGTGTTGTATCAGCTTAGGTGCCAGTTATGGTTTGCACATATTGCAATTCAGTGGACTGAAAACACGATTGACTGTTTTGGCACACACCGTACTGCAGCTGTGCAAATAGGCCGAGCTTAATTAACTATATCAACTTGATAAAAGTCCTTTCTGAAAAAAACAAAAAAACAAGCATGTTCAATGTATTTAATGTTTTTCTCCAACACACATCACAATTATCAGCATTCCCACGTGGTTCAGATAGCTGGCTTACTATGGTCCGTTCTTTTATACCTTAATATACAACAGACCGTATTTGTAGTCCATGTTGCACGACCAAATGTAATTGTGTGTGTGTGTGTGTGTGTGTGTGTGTGTGTGAGGACTTCTCACCCCAATGCAGCTTATGCACGCGGTCAGTTTATGTCTGTTCTCAGGGGTCGTAGAAAGGGTTTGGGGTCAAAGGTGACTCTAAAAGTCAAAACGTCCGTTGAAGTCATTGGGTCACGAGAGGGCAACAGAGCACAGGAATGACATGGTGATCAACCAAACCTGCAGGAGCAATCATAACACAGAATAGGGGTTAGTCGGTTAATTTGAGGGTTTTTTAACCAATTTCAATGTCTCATTGAGCATATGTTCAATTGGACCCTGCAGAAAAAGTGTACGGTTGCTTCCAATTAATACTGTCTGACTTTCTAAACAACTCACTTATAAACTAACTTATAAATAACGAATGAGGCTGATTTTATGCAGCAAAGACCGTTGGGATGTCTTGAAATTCCAGTTATTGCAGCACAAAGTCTTTAAAGTGCAAATAGCGAACACCAGTGCGGCGAGGAATCAGAATCAGAATCAAAATCAGAACCATTTATTGCCAAGGAAGTTTGCACCTACAAGGAATTTGTCGTGGCCTTTGTTGTGTAAAATCAGCTTTGGCCTTTGTTGTGTAAAACCCTGCTATAACTCAGTTATTATGCTTACATTATGAGTGCTTCAGAAACTCTTTTGAAGCACAGTGACCCAGTTATGAAAAATATGGTGATACGGTTATTTTCAACTCACTTTCTGGAATGTCTCTTTGCAGGCAGAACTAGTTGTTTTAGATCTTATCCTTCCAGGCACTGACAAACCTTCATGAGTGAGCCACACCTCTCCTGTAACACAAGGAACCTACGCTCATTCACAAACATATCTGGGGGGGATTTGTGTTCACTGTCTACCATGCATGGAAATTCTAGAGTCCACAAGGACAGAACATGGTAGCTGCTATAAAACAGGAAATTAGCCACTATATGATTAGAGCTGCTACTGATCATTATTCCCATTGTCAGCTTATCTGCCAATTATTGTTTTGATTTACTCATTAATCATTTAGTCACAAAATAGTTAAACAATGGTTGTCACAATTTTCTAAACCTCAAGGTCAAGATAGGGTCTGACCGGAAAGTCAAAGATATTCAGTTTACGGTGAAATAAAACACAGAAGATCAACAGAATCTAGAAGCTGGATCCCATTAATTACTAATGAGAATAAGTGAAAAATGATCATCACACTTTCCGACAGCCCAAAGAGGCATCTTCAAAGTGCCTGTTATGTCCGACCAACAGTCTACAACTTAAATACATACATACATACCACATAAGTTAAAACAACAATTGCAGCAAACCCTGTCAATTAATCAAATAGCTGTTTTTGTGATGTCTAAATTAACAGTCTGACAATAAAGTTCCCAAACCTATCAAGCAGAGTCAACACCAATCGGACACCATATGTGACCCAGTGATCTTATAAGAGGATTTTACTGTAAGATATGACAGTACAGTACACAGTCACATCTATGAATAACATTAGCGCCCCGCTAGATTATTTATAGCTCTGATTTTAGTGGGAGATTATGGTGAGATTTAGTCATTTTGTTAAACCATCTTAATTGCTCCATGCACTGTCCTGACCTACAGTCATGTATACCTGATGGCCAATAAGTGGAGCCTCATTAGACTGAGCTTCTTCATTGGACGATCCTGCCCACTGTACATCATCGTCAATGAATAAACGCTGATATTAGCGACACGGTCCTCGTACTGCAGTCGACCAAAACATCCATTAGCTATCACACATGCACAGTAACACATTGCAATATACCTTTTGGTGCCACAGGTGTTCGTTATACAAGCGAGAGCAAAAAGAGCAACCCATATAGCTAGCTAGCAGGCTAACTAAGCTTGCTGTCGAAAACTGTCCATTTAACCCAGAGATTGAATGCACCTACTGACCCAGTTTCCTCCCGCTACGCTCGCGAACGCTGCATGACACAGATATGACAGGTAGAGCCGCTCGCGTCTGTGTAATAAACGGGAGGAATGACAGCGTCTATCATTGCAAAGCTGGCCTCAAGCTGTCACGCAACAACTGACATTGAGGACAAAATAATCTCTAAAAATGTTACCGTTGGTCCTCAAACGCCACGAGAAAACGGAGCCTAAACGTCCGCGCGGGGAAAGATCCTCTTCAAAGCCGACAAAAACATGAATGTCGGTCGCGGAGAAATGCCTAAAATCAGCGATGGTGGAAACATTTTCGCGGCAGATGTATGTACACACACACACGGTTCCCCTGGCACACACATACACACACACACACTGGCAGGGATACGCGCGCGCGCTCGCCCACGCGTACACATAGACACAGGCTGCTCTGAATGTGGGTCACTGGGCCTTGCTCTCCCTCGAGCGTGCGGAAACAGTCCCGAAGCCTCCTCTGCAGTCCGACTGCCTCCGCACGCTAAATAAAAAAACACAACGGCCGTGCTATTTCACAATCGGCGACCACCGCTGGCTTTGAGTGTGCATTAAGAAACCCTTACCTTCTCGTGTGATCGACGGCAGCCTCCGTGTTTTGCTTACTTGAACGTTGCATCGAGTCGGTGGGGGCCAGGAGGACTCCGGGGTTGGGGAGAAAAACAGGAGGCCTACTTCATATTACGAAGTACAGTCATGCGCAATAGCGTCAGTAGGGCGCACTATTTTGCAAGTACAGTAGCAGCAAAGCTGAGGGGATCGCTGGGTGATCTTCAGAGGGGAAATGACTCCGCGTGTTTTTGTGGCTTTTCCCAGCGACTAGTCATCCTAATTGTTCACATGACAGAGATTAAAAGGACACGGTAGCGATTCTGCGTCGCGACTTGCAAATGAATGCACTTTAAAGCGAGAATGTATCCATGTTTAACGTTACATGAAGGTGCATAATGAACACCAGCATGTTAAACACCGCTGCACACACTTTGGGTGAGAGTAAATGGATTGTGAATGTGACATTGAACGGTCGCCAGTAGGATGCAGCGCAGGGTGGGGATGGCCCTGCCTGATGGCATGGGGTTTCCCCTTTTTATCGACATCCAATCATAAGCTCTCCATGCCGTGACGTTGTACCTGTACTGTGTCGAGGTTCCCCCTAAATTCATATTATTGGGCATTTTGACCAGAAACCTTTTTTATATTTTTTTATTTTTGAGGCATAAGTGGGATTGGAGGTTCGTTTTACGAAAGATCATGTCCTTTTTATTGTGACATTTTTATTGGCATGACATAAAATGGCACACAAAAGCAACTGCATTATGTCTGAAAATGCAGTTTACAACTCGTTTCTGGGTGAATACAACATTCATAATCAAGGTAACAGTAGATAAAAGAGATGACAGGGGAGAGGGGGAGGGGGTCATGTGGGCTGCAAACCATGCAGTGATGGCTGTATACTGTATTGTTCACTGGTCGAGAGAATACAGAAAATAAACAAGATGCTCTCTCACTGTTGCGGAATCAAAACTCTCCTGTCAGGATTACACCACTGTTAAGTATCAAAACCCACAGTTTAAACTGCTGTATAATACATTTACCCATATTAAAATTCTCAAGGTTAAAAAGAGATCTATCGTAATCCTGATTTTGAAACTAATACCAAAACAATAGCTTAGTTGTTGCCCAACACATTATGTTTAATTGACCTGGATATTGCCACCTTTCCTATGATAGTTCCGCTACATTAGTAGGTTTTGGCTGTGTCATCCTCCTATACCAGTGCAGCACTAGAAATGCATGAGGTCATTATCAGTTCTAACAAACAACTGTTGGAAAAGTAGCCATCAAAGTGTGTGTGTGTGTGTGTGTGTGTGTGTGTGTGTGTGTGTGTGTGTGTGTGTGTGTGTAAATCCAGTTCTGCAGCCCCTTTGTTTGTGGGCAATCTCAACTTTTCTTCACCCAGAGAAGTGTGTTGACGTGCAGGGAGGTAGCTGTAGGGATAATACTAAAGGCAGTATTGTCAGGAGTTTGGTAATATAAAGGGGAAAGTGATCTCGTACATCACATGATGAGGCACGGTGCTGAAGCTCAAATGTGGCCCCTGCAATATTAAGCCTTAGACCCCCCTCTGGCAAATATTTCCGTACCCCATGTTTATCCCCAGAGAGGGGAAATTGTAATTTTCTCAGCAGTGATCAAATCTACGTTAGGAGAAGCAGCCCCTATGGAGGTGGTAAATGCACTGCATTTATATAAAGCTTTTCTCGTCTTATCGACCACTCAAAGCGTTTTACAGCACAAGTCAGCATTCACACAGTCATACACTGATGGCATAGGCCACCATACGAGGTGCCACCATGTTCCTCAGCAGCGATAAACATCCAATTGGGTTCAGGATCTTTTTCCTGAATGAATGAAGTATTTTAGCTTTTGGTTGAAGAAAGGTGGGAGATGCATTTGGAGTCATTTTCTCCTATTTAGTGTATAAAGAGTAATATATATATATTGTTCTGGCTTTTTCACAACCATCTTCGCTCCAAGGCAAGGCTAAATGTTTTTGGCATATTGAAACATCATGATAGTGCTTTTTTATTTTTATAAGCCTGTTTTCCTGTGGGACTCATTTTGCGTCATGTCCAGAAATGGCTCCTCGAATTAGATCATTTGATCATCTTTTAGTGACCATAAACTGCCCACCCTTTTTTTAACACAGAAACACTGGAGCAAAGGTCACCTCCTTGATCAACTCCCTGTTTTGTTTACTTGACAATTCAATTTAGAAAAAAAGACACTTACATGTTCACAACACCATCGTGCACAAATAAAAGAACATCAACACCTATAAGTTGAGGGGATTTAATTAAAATACATTTGTAGGATAAAGACATTTACATTTTTGCAAAAACCCTACAGTGTGCTTTGGATTGTTTTTTGAAGAGGACTTGCAATTTATATTTCTTTTGAGAACATATTTCACCCAATGAGCCCTTCACATGATGAAATAAGCACAGTACACCTGAATCCAAAGAGCAGCTGATTACCACAAAGACCCAGCAGTGCTTCTACTCCATTGGCCTCACAATTTTCCAATATAGTTACAATTGTAACACAATGCAAGCAAGCTATTTGGTGTTATTCAATTCAATTTAATTTATTTTGTATATCACAAATCACAAATTGGCCTCAGAGGGCATTATAATATGTTTAGATACGACATCCTATGTCCCGGGACCCTCACATCGGTACAGGAAAAACTGATATATTAGTTATAAACAATGCATCAAAACATCTGTGTAACTCCTGGCAAAGACCAAAACCTTGAATACTAAAAGTTTTTCAAATGCAAAAGGCCAGAAAGAAAAACAGTTCAGGTAAAATGTCTGCAACAATTATACGAAGCAAACTTTAATCTATCTTTTTTTTAAATATCAAATGACATTCATAATACTACAATAGTATCACAAAAATTGCAAACTTTATAATCCAGAATCTATTTTATGAAAACAACATTTTAGAAATTCCAGCCTTAGGCTTATGCATTAAACAAAAAGTGTTTTCATTAGCTCTATTCTATCTTCCTCAGTGTAGTGCCAGCCTCATTCATTCTCTCCTCCTGCATGCACTCATTAAACCTCTGAACCTTCTCACAATTTTTATTTCTCTTTTTTTCTCTCCAACAATCTTCTCTCTGTGAACTCAAGCTGCCCCCGCTCTTTTCCTCTTTTTCTCAGTCATCATTTTCAGCTCTTTTAGGGTTATTCTTTTCTCGGATTAGTCCTAATCTGCCCCCCCCCCTTCCTTCTCCTTTTCCTATAAATCATCTTCTCACCTTTCCTTGGCTCAGCAGCCCTTCCTGCATACATCTATGTTATTCAATCCTTAATTCATCTCCACAACCTGATCTTTTTTTTCCACATTCACCTTTCATTCCATTTTCCCGGTTATATTGTCTTATTCCTCCGTGCATCCTTCATGTCTTCCCTCCTTTCCTGCTTCCTTTTTAATACTTCATAGCCTCTTCTTTTTTCCCCAGCAGCTTCTTCTTCTTTTCCTCCTTCCCCATGCTTCGTTCACTTCATCCCGTCCCACCAGTGCTTCACACGGATCTGCTCCTCATCCTCGCTGTTGGGTCCTTTTGACTTTACTCCTAAACCTTGAACACACCTCCTCTTAAGTCCTCGCGCCCCTCTTTTTCCAAACTCCTCCCATGGAGCCACAAGGTAACACTATTGAAATATATTGCTATACGTTTGTATCCTGGCTTCCATTGCTACTGCATGTCCCAACATAAGCCAGGGATAATGGGAATGCTTCGTGACAAATACTTTCTTACAAATACAGATTTAGACGCATTGAAAGTGTTTCCATTTACTTCCAATGGAAAAACCCCGCAGCCTTAATTATTGTGCTATCCATCATATACATTACAAAAGCCACTCCCTGGGTTTGTCTCCCATATTATTGTACAATTACAAACCCTTTCAATTGACGTTTGAAGTTTATGATAAGTATAAGTACAATAAAACCCCATGTGTTATTCATGAGATTCAACACTTGTATGTTTCCTGTCCTCCATACTTCCTGCCCCTGCGCTCATCTTTCCATCTCAGAGGCAGAGAGCCTGTCAAGGGAACACCCGCAGAAACGATCATCAACAACAACAACAACAACAACAACAATAAAGCACTTAGTTGTCCGAAAAAAACAAAAACGTGACAAATCCAATGGAGCCACACTCTTTCCTGCTAACAAATCAAATCAAATCACAGCTTTGGTCCGGTTCACCCCGGGACTGTTTTTTTTTTTCATGGAAAAACGTCCTCCCATGCTGTTTTGACGGAAGGAAAAAAAAGTGTAATATTATGTCCTGTTTATCAGTACATCAGGCAAATTGTCTCGTGGAGCCATGCTCGCTAAATAAGTGTATATAGCATCCTTTATGTGCTTGTAAAATCCCTCCATTTAAGTGCTTCACCCCATCGTACCTGTGCTCAGAGATTGAATTACTACACGGTAATGGAAACCATGCAGAGTGCTGTGGGACATCCTTTTCCCACACAACAACCGTTTAATCACAGACGACTATCGGGCACCCTGCCACACACACACACACACACATATATATGCATATATATATTTATATATATATATATACATACATCACCATCTACTGCATATGTGAGTGAGTGGAGAGAGAGACCACGGAAAGAAAAATCAGTGGGTTGTGAGGAAACCACTTAAAACCATAGGGCAGGCTCCTTGTATATCTGCGCTTCAGGGTGAGACACACAACTTCCACGCTGAAGTAAATACAAATATCCAAGAGTGGAATCCATATTTTACAGGAAACCTGAAATCGGCGTTGGTATAATGGATCTTAATTGAAGCAATAAAAGGGCACCTTGATGAAGAGATTGGCCTTTAATCGCTCCCTTTCTGCTCGATCCCTCCTGGGCACGTTGGTATTAAAGGCAGTACTTTAATGAAAGATTAACATAGATCATCAGAAGTTGACAGTCTCGGAGTGGAGTGGAGCGGAGTGAGTGAGTCAGTGTGTGTGTGTGTGTGTGTGTGGCGGAGTAAGAGCTCATTTCATATCCACGACCACTACTTCTCACGCGGTCTGACCAGAGGAAACATCCCCACCAGTGTTTGCGATTTCTCTTTTTTTATTCCTCCCTCGGATTTTCTCATCTCTTGTCACTCTTTTGTTGCCTTACTGCTTCTGTTTTTTTTCTTTTTTTCTTAAAGCTTCCACCCTTCCACCGCATCATCTGATCTCGATTCTTCTTCGTCCGCTCTCCAGTGATGTCGTCTCTTCTGAGGGAGGAGATGCAAAGAGTTTTATTCCGACCTGAAAAACAGAGACTGGTGGAGTTTATTGAGATCGACGAGGAGACCGACGGGAGAAGTTTTCTCTGTGTCTCAGGTAAACAGCTTTTTAAAAAATGTTGGATTGGGTCATTTGAGAGCAGTTTTAAGGGGTTAAAGATGATCATTGGGATTTTTAATTTACAGGCACCTAATATTACCTTGGCTGTAGAGAATCTGTAGGGAAATGTGCTCAACCTTTCCTTTGTACAGTATGCTATGAGGCCTGGAAAGAGGTTTTACTTTTACCGCAGATGAAATGTCTGGTGCTGCAGTGGGCCTATTTATATGCAAACATTATATATATGTATATGTTTTTTTCTCCTTTTTCCGCAGTTTTAAAAAACAAAGTGGTGCAGTTATGTATAGTGCGATGTCAGATATCTCAGCCGTCCATCAAGTCTGGATCCAAGAAGTCCCACACCAAACGCTCCAGCATCCAGGAGTGCTACAGGAGGACGGAGGTCTGGACTCTGCAAGACCTGACTCTTGTTGATGGACGGGACCCTGATGTGGTAATTAACCCAATTACCAATTTTTATTGCTATTCTCTTTGCTTATTATTGCATTAGTTCCTATAGTTTTCTATAGAAAGAATGATTGGCACGTATAATATATCAAACTGTGTGTTCTCATAAATAATCACACTTTTACTCTTTATACTTATGAAAGCTTTGAACAAATGTAATTTATCTCAAATTATAATTTCACATTGTAATTCATGTAATTATTGTTTCAGTGCTACGTGCTACTGCATGTGAACCCAAAAAGGAAATATCTGTCTTTGGGATCCTAAATAAAAAACAAGATATGTAAAACAGATATAGGAAAAAAGATAAATACATCTTTACCTACCTATACCTATATTGTTGTGCACAACCTCAATTATGTTTTGATAATAATGTAAATCTGGGGTTGACATAAGCGTAACTGAAGATGTAGCTTTATGTGCAGCTTTCAACCACATTTCATCTTTCAAACATCAGAGTTTTCCTGATGCAGATAAATTATTGAGATGCTTGTTTTTATCAACAAGGTTATTCCTGGTTTATTTGTGCCATTTGCTGTCATACATCCGGCATCACCTCTAAGGTTTATTGTCAGATTTGAATCAATTTGAACTGAGTGACCTGTGTTCTTTCACATAACTTAACAGCAATGTGTCAGCTCTGATTTAATAACTTACATTTTTTGTAATTTTTTTTACAAGTAGGCCTAATGCTATCTCTTTCTGTGTCTCTGTGGCTCCAGGACGACCCTTGTTTCCTGCTGCACTTTGACAAGGTGCGTATGGTGACGGCCGTCAGCTGCTCGGCCAAATACTCGTTCGTGCGGGCCCTGGTCGTCCTCAGCGACCAGCACTGCCAGAGGTCACTGAACCTGCAGAACTTTGACTGGGCCTACATCAAGCCCACCTCCTTCTACTCCAACCGAGGAGACTGTGTTGTCCTCACACAGATCTGCTTCTACGCATTCAATTTGGTGTGTCTCTCCATGTGTCCCGTGCCCATGGACGTATAATGGAACGACACGACGATTGTGTGTGTTTGTGTGTCAATTTAAAGATGCGTGCGTATGTTAGAAAACGACACAAGGTAACTTGTGTTGCGTATATGAGCTGTGGAGTGTAATCTTGTGGCTTCTGTTAACACTAGTAGGGCTTATTCACCAGGAAATGTCTTTTTGCATCAATACTCTGCTGAATGTATCTTCGTGGCAAATGCAAGTTTCCAGCAGCTTGATATTTGTTAACTGTGTAATCTAGTTTTGTGATCTTTTGTGAAGTTATTCATCCTTGACAGTATTCCATTGTGCGTTATTGTAAACATGTGAATTTCAAATGGAGAACAAATAAAAACAACTACACATTTATTTTCTTTCTCTGCCTTTAGCATTCTTATAGGTGGAATCATTAATGTGGTGTCAGTTATTCACTTTGTACAATATATTTGATTATTCATAGGGTTTTGTCTGTGGTGTCCTGGGTTTGGTAGCTCATGACTTCTTTTAGTCCCTACAACTGAATTACCATATATGGCTGATTATTTATTACAATCAATATATTGATAATCCCCACCATTAGGCCACAAAAGAGTAAATACAGAATTCAACATTACCCCACCAGATTTATTTTTATTCATATTTCTTGCTTTGTTGAGAAGGTTTTGATACATGTACTTTGGGCTTTACATTGAAACAGAAAATAACAGAAAATGATACTAATAAATGATCAGTTTGTAGTGAAAAACCCAAGTAATTAATATATATATATATATTTGGTCAAAGTAATTGACATTAATGCTAGGACTTTCTGTCGTTCCTAATGGTGAGTATGGCTTTATGCTTCACGCTATTCATTTTTGAACATGGTAGAATCATCTATAAAAACAATAAAATACAGTAGGCCAAAAGCAATTAGCATTTACATACTTGTATTAGCTATGGCTAAAATACACCGACCGTCGCTGACGTTAACCTTCCTAAATCTAATTGTTGTCCACAATCTATGGTTGTCCACGTTTGACACGGGGTGAGCTATTATTTCTTCCATCTGCAGTTCATCTTTTCTACCTACAGGTGGCTCCACAACATTGCTGCAGGCTACGGGGAGCATTTAGTAGTCCTCAAATTTCCCCGACGAAAATAAACATAAATATATATGAAACGGTGTCCTTTGCATATTATGTTTAAATGTAATGTCAATCATATTCCAATATTGACACATTCATTTAATATGCACACAAATCATGTTAAGATTTTTTATTTATTTCTTCGTCCTGTTCCGGCACGAAGGGGACGGACCAGCGGCTCCATGCCTGCCGCCAAAATTCAAGTTAGAAGAGAGCAGAGCGAGTTTTCCTGTTTGTCGGTTGTAAACACTGGGCGATAACCTAGTGCTTCGACTTTTTAATTGCTGATTTGGTTTTCAAACACCGCAAACTTTGCCTCCTGAGTCCGCGGGGAGGGCAGCCTAAAGATGCACATCAAGTCTATTATTCTTGAAGGATTCAAGTCCTACGCACAGAGGACGGAGATCAACGGCTTTGACCCGCTGTTCAACGCCATCACGGGACTGAACGGCAGCGGCAAGTCCAATATTTTGGACTCGATATGTTTCCTTTTAGGCATTTCAAACCTCAGCCATGTAAGTGTGTTGTTGGCTACAAGGCCATTACGCTCTATGGCTAAAAGTCACCTAGTTGTTGACCTTAAATAAATTATGTTGCACAGTTGGGTATTGTAGTATTTTTCTATCGGCAACTACCAAAACAGAGTCAGTAAGCTAACTGTTAGCTAGAAGCATCTTAACTCTCAGGAATACCGGTCTCTCTTGAAACCTGCAACGTTTTCTTTTTGTTTCATTTACACCTGAAAGGTGCGAGCCTCCAACCTCCAGGACTTGGTTTACAAAAATGGACAGGGTGGCATCACCAAGGCCACTGTGTCTATTACCTTTGACAACTCCAACAAAAGCCAGAGTCCTCTGGGTTTTGAAACCCACGATGAGATCACCGTCACCAGACAGGTTGGCCAAGAAATAGATCAACAGCTCTGTCACTGGTGTACAACTGGTCATTGTGTGCAATGCTGGTACTACCACTGTGTTATACAACTGTGTTTAAGGTGGTAATCGGTGGCAGGAACAAGTACCTCATCAATGGAGTGAATGCCAACAACACCAGGGTGCAGGACTTGTTCTGCTCTATTGGCCTCAACGTCAACAACCCGCATTTCCTCATCATGCAGGTCAGTTTTGTGTCTGCAGCAGTGTGCGAGGTAGTGTTTGTAACCCTCGGAAGTATTTTACATCCTGTGATGTTTCCGATACTTTAGGGGAGGATCACCAAAGTTCTAAACATGAAGCCACCAGAGGTAAAGCATGCACGTGCTGTCCACCGTCAGTACTATTTCATACAGTCATCCCGTCTTTTTCCGAGTCTCCCAATGACCACCTCTTTGCTTTCAGATCCTTGCCATGATCGAGGAGGCAGCGGGCACCAGGATGTACGAGTGTAAAAAGATTAGCGCTCAGAAAACCATTGAGAAGAAGGAGGCCAAGCTGAAGGAGATTCAGACGGTAAGTTAGACATCCCAACTTGTTTTTACTCATTTATCTCCTTTCATTCCACGAATACAACTGCAACTAATGTTGAAATGTTTCTCTTTGTTTCCTCCAAGATTTTGGATGAGGAAATCACTCCAACCATGCATAAACTCCAAGAGGTATGTCCAATGCAAAGTCCAAACATACAAAATCCCTGCTGTGACTGACATGTAATGGCAAGAATGAAGCAGTAAAGTCATTTGTTTTTTCAACCTTTTTTCTAAACTTTACTCCCTCTGCAGGAACGATCATCATACTTGGAGTACCAGAAGCTGATGCGTGAGATCCAGCACCTGTCCCGGCTGTACGTGGCCTGGCTGTTTGTGTGTGCCGAGGAAACCAAGCTGAAGTCGGCGGATAATCTGAAGGTGATGCAGGATAACATCGCCAAGATGCAAGCAAGCATGGCCGAGAATGAGAGCAAAGTCCAGGAGCTGTCGGCCCAGATTCAGGAGCTGCAGAAGAAGAAAGACCAGGTACGCTGGAACACTTAATTCTCCCGCATTCTTCGGAAGTTAAACATTTGAATCTTTGACCCTCTTGGCTTTGAAAGACATTTTGGAAGAAGTGTCCAAAATTGTCTGTAGCCCATCAAAATTCAATGTTGTCTATGTTTTTATGAAACCCCAACAAAGAAAATAAATCTTAAGTCTCATGGTTTTGCTTTTAATGTTTATCTGCTCACCTGTAGGAGGTGAGTGGAGTATTAAAATCCCTGGAGGAGACTCTAGCTGACGTGCAACGTGTGGATGCCAAAGCTCAGAGTGCGCTCGACCTGAAAAAACAGAACGTCACAGATGAAACCAAGAAGAGGAATGAGCTTGTCAAGAGTATGGAGGAGGTAACAGGACAGTACATTCAGCTACTTTGTGCCCATATGACTTGTTTAATCTCTTGTCAAAAACCAAAACTTCAGCGGTTGTTTCCCTTCGTCCTTAGGACAAGAAAATGCTTGTGGTAAAAGAAAAGGAAGTTTCTAAGTTGTCGGAGCAGCTTCAGGCTCTACAGGAGGAGGGACAGAAGGACAGTGCGGCCCTTGAGGCAGCTGAGCAGCATTTCAGGGCCGTGTCAGCGGGCCTCTCCACCAACGAGGACGGAGAGGAGGCCACGCTGGCTGGCCAGATGATGACCTGCAAGAATGACATGAGCAAGGCCGAAACCGAGGCCAAGCAGGTGAGGAAAGGGCATGAATGTATCTGACGGGGACGTGGTGTTTCAGGTTGCCAGTTTACGTTCATCAGCAAGTTTGCAGTGCAGACATTTGTAGTCAAAAGCATGAACACGCATCACAGGCCTGCCGTTTCTAAACTCCCTCCTCATTGAGAAAATACTCAATTTCTTTCCTTTCATTTTCAAAGATTGTTCATCCGTCTTGTCTCCGTCCTCCTTTCCGTCCAGGCCCAGATGACCCTGAAGCATGCCCAGGCTGAGCTGAAGACCAAACAGGCCGAGGTGAAAAAGATGGACAGCGGCTACAAGAAGGACCAGGACAGCCTGCAGGCTGTCGCAAGCAGCAGGGAGAAGTTTCAGGCGGAGCTGGCTAAGCTCAACTATGAAGGTACCGTGTGAGAGCAGCGCTTTGCACGAGGTCAGCCTCTGGTGCACATGGCATTCCTCATGTTACGCATTTTGTATTAACATGTAGGGTCTGTGTATGCATTTCAGATGGAAAGGAGGAGAATCTGCTCGACAAAAGAAGGCAGCTGTCCAGAGAGGTCGCTAAACTTAAAGAGACCTATGAGCGTCTTGTGTCTCGCTTCCCCAACTTGCGCTTCGACTACAAGTAAGGGTTCGCTCGTATCTTTAACTGTGCAGTATGTTGTGAATCTAGACGTGCTGTTAAGTTTGCCCTCTGATAATGCGTTGGAAATTAGCTCGAGCTGTACACACATTCACACCGTTCATCACGCACTCATTCTGAAACTGTCAATGTCTCTCCGTATTTGTCCCTTTGCAAATAAACACTATTTTAGGGCAAAATAATATTTTCCAAAGGATTAATCAATGTATTCTGAATTTAAATGTCCTGCACATCTACACAGGTGAAAAACAAAAAATAGATGTGATCGTTTCCAAAATTCACAACGCATTTATATCCAACCAAATATTCTACTTCAGTTCATATTTGTTTGCGTTTAGCCATTCAAAAATAATTTTCCCTGCGGTCAAAAACAACGTAGTTTGCTCTCCAGCTTGCTGCACACAAAGGGAGGGGGCGGGTCTTAGTCAACGGGGCGGCCTGGCAGCAATTTAACAGCACCATAAATTTCATTTTATATAACTACAATAACACAAAATTCTATTTCTTACCATTTCTAAGTTTGATGACATCATAAAGCATGACGAAAGCTCCATTTGAAAACATCAATAGATGCTTCGAATGTAAAATGAAATTAGGTATCTCATCGTATTGCTCGGCCCGGAAAAGATTTATAGTGTCGTGCTTAATGTATGTTTTTTTTTTTTTTGCCGTCTTAAAGGGACCCAGAGCGAGGATGGGACCGCAGCAAAGTGAAGGGGCTGCTCGCGAACCTGATCACAGTCCGGGACGTCTCCTACGCAACAGGACTGGAGGTCGTTGCAGGAGGCCGCCTCTATAACATTGTAGTTGACACAGAGGTAGGTGTGTTAGTGGACGGTGTGCAATCATGTAATGGTGTTTGTTATTTCATTTGCGTACCAGTGGGACAGTGTAACCGGAGTCGACCATGTGCTTTCTGTCTTTGCCAGGTGACTGGTAAGAAGCTGTTGGAGAAGGGAGAGCTGCAGCGGCGGTACACCATCATTCCCCTGAACAAGATCTCTGCCAAGACACTCGGCGACAGAGTGGTGAACACCGCCAAGAGTCTGGTGAGACATCTAAACACAGCCCGGCTCAGAAATTGAGTCGTCGCTCTGTCTGATCCTAAAAGCCCCGGCTCTTCTCCGTCTGTCCCCCCCCACCCCCTCTCGCAAGGTCGGAGAGGACAACGTCCATGCAGCTCTGTCCCTGGTGGGCTACGAGTCTGACCTGCGCAAGGCCATGGAGTACGTCTTTGGCTCCACACTGGTGTGCGACACCCTGGACAACGCCAAAAAAGTGGCTTTCGATAAGCAGGTGATGACCAAGACCGTCACTCTTGGAGGGGACATCTTCGACCCACAGGGGACTCTGAGCGGAGGTGAGACTCGTGCTAGATTATGTGTGTGTTACCTGCGGTATGTGCGGTTGCTTTGAAACATGCCACGACTTGTTTTCTTGTACATTCAAATATTTTATTTATTGCTTACAATCGTGTTTTGATTCATCAGTGTTTTCTAAAGCGTCTGCGCATACCTGGAATACCAGTTTGGACTTACTAGACACATGTAATATTACATTTTTCATACACGGTGCCCTTTCTCTCCCAGGCGCTCGCTCCCAGTCAGCATCGGTCCTGACCAGCCTGCAGGAACTGAAGGAGGTTCGCGACAACTTGAATGACCAAGAGGCCCAGCTCCAGGACACTGAGCGACAGCTGGCCAGCCTTAAGGCAACCGCGGAGAAGTACGCAGACACAAACTCACTAGTTTATGATGGATGCATCTTTATCGGTCTATCTGAAAACTTACCATGTTGGAGGTCATTTCGAAACAGTTTCATCTGTTACATAGTTTGTCCACCAGAGGGAACCGACACGTTTTCACTTCATAATCTCCTCTTCAGTATGTATCAAGCATCTTTAAAAAGAAAACCTAATATAAGGGATCCATATACAGGTTATTTTGTTTGTTATAAAAGATATTTGTCCGACATATTATTATGGATTTTTAAAGATATCTATATATTTGCCTTAAAATAAATCCTGTATCATTCAGGCTTTTGTTCCCAAGTTTTCCCAAATGTTCTAAGAAATTTAAATTCTCAAAATACATCACCAACTCAGTGGCCTGAACTCTGCTTTCACATCCTCCTGGTGTGTTCTGGATTTCATTATCTCATATTCTTCTTCATTCGCTGCACTTCCTCCCTCCAGGTACCGTCAGCTGAAGCAGCAGTATGAGCTGAAGGTGGAGGAGGAACAGATTCTGCAGGCCAAGGTGCAGCAGAGCTCCTTCCACCAGCAGCAAGAGGAGCTGGAGAGGCTGCGCAAGGCCATTGGTCAGAATGCTGGAATGTGCACAAACACACAGTTTAACATACTGAATACAAATAGACACTAGATTTGTGAAATCTAAAAAAAAAAAAAAGTACACTGGTCCTGGTTTAATCTTTTTTGTTTGTGCTAACTTAACTGTGTGGTGTGCTTGCTGAACCAGAGGAGAGTGAGGAGACGCTGCGTGTCACCAAGGAGGTGCAGAAACGGGCGGAGGAGAAGTACAAGGTGCTGGAGAACAAGATGAAGAATGCCGAGGCCGAGAGGGAGAAGGAGCTGAAAGCCGCCCAGCAGAAACTCAACGCAGCCAAGGCCAAAGCTGACGCCTTCAATAAGAAGCTGAAGCAGAAGCGGCAGGTATGCCGACACACACACACACACACACACACACACACACACACACACACACACAGAGTCGTCCTCTCCATGCGATGCTCAATCTGCTTGTGCCTCTGGTGAACTCATCAAACGTGTTCACGTTCTGGCTCGTGCGTGCAGGAGTCCGACGCCGTGGCCCTGGAGCTGGAGGAGCTGCGGAGGGAGCAGGCTGGTTATGAGCAGCAGATTCAGGCTGTGGATGAAGCCATGGGGGCCATCAAGGAGCAGATAGACAGCATGGCTTGCACCGTGTCACAGAACAAGGTATTTGCATCGTTTTGAAGGTGTGTGTGTGTGTGTGTGTGTGTGTGTGTGTGTGTGTGTGTGTGTG